AGTGGTTCATTGAACCACAATACCGATAAGTGATTAATAAAAGTCAAAAGACCAAAGAGGTCACCTTAAAAAAAAAACAAAAAAAAAAAAAAACAAAAAATTATTTAGAAAGTTTTTATGCCAATTTTTGATCCATTGCAATAGCCCTTTCATTTTTGCAAGCAGCTGAAAGTTTCAAATATCTTTCACCTTTTTTCAAATCTTTCTGAACAACTTTTCCATTTAAATACATGTAGGCTAAAGTATACATAGTTACTTGATTTCCATTATCAGCAGCTAATGTTAGATATTTAAGAAATTCTTCACGATACTCTTTTACTCTTGGTAATGAATGAGAATATCGTAACTGTGCATCATGATGATTTTTATAAGCAGCAATTTTATAAAGTTTCATGGCCTTTTCTTTATCGAGTTTCTTTTGTTCTTCAGTTCTGTTCTCATTAGTATAATAACCTTCTTGTAAATAATAACCTTTCCAGTAGATAGCTGATACACTGTTTGATTCAGCATTAGCTTCAAAGCACTTTCAGGCTATTTTTCTATTTTCTTTATCTTTTGTGTTATGTAATTTTATGCCTTCTTCAACTAATAAAATTTGTTAAAAACTTGAATAATCATAGATGTAACAATCATCGTTTTCTGATTCTTCATTTATAGATTTCTCATGGGATCATCAGGTTTGTTTATGGTTAAAAGTGCAGGATCTTTACCTGGAATGACTTTTTTAGACAAATTTAATACGTCTATGTAAAGTGTTCAAGACTAGTTCTTACATTAGGATTATGTTCCCATGCTGTTATTTAACGTTAAGAAATATATCAATTTTGTAAGTATATTTCCAAATTTGGTTAAAAACGTTTTAATCAGCATACAGTACATACATTTTTCGATGATGGCTATAAGGTTTTTCTGAATCATATCATTTTTTGGCTTTAAATCCGGAACAATTTTGCATTCCTCTCTTTTACCAGTCGTGACCTTATCGATGATGGTTTGAATATCATCATCTTTGTAAGGAATCGTTTGATATGTCAATTCCCACAATAACATTCCAAAGCTACACATATAATGATAAAAGGAATAATTATTACAAGTAAAATTTTTTATTTTTTTTGGTTTATAATTACCTAAATATTTCACATTATTGTGTATACGGGAATAATTCAGCATCTGTTTCGGGAGATGTCGAACAAATACTCATTTTGTATTTTTGCATCTTTTCTGGAGTCGTCCAGTTAAGAAGATCTAAATATTTATTGCCAATATTTGTTGAAAATTCATCGTGCCCTCTCGAATATTTAAATTTTGATATTTTTGGTTCAAATGAGCGTGTAATCTATTGACTCATTAAACATAAAAATATAATATATAATACACATATTTTTTATATGAACACAAAAATGGATTACTCACCATTATATTTTTGCATCAAAGATCATGATGAAAAATTTTGAGTGCTTGTAAAAATACAATTCCGCTACAGATACCATAAACAATATTTGCTTTCGTCTGCCAAGAAATGCCACTTTTTTCATAAACTTCTTTTAAACATCTTAATTGTGCCCATAACATCTCTGTTATCTAATTTGGATAATCCATAGAATTTAAGAATATTTGTACTTTTACCCAATTTTTCCAATATAGGTAAATAGCGGAGACTCATTTGATATTCTTTGCTAGCTACTTTTTCAGTGGGGATATCAAATCTTTTACACGCAATTTCTACACCATCCTTAAATATTTTTCTTACTAATTTCTGATTCACTGCCCAAAACAGGATCTTTTATCATAGCCGAATTAATTTCATGAACTTTTATATCTGGATTATATTTATAACCTTTAGAGTCTGGATTTCGAACGTTCACTTCATATGAAAGGAGTTTAAAATTTTCATCAAATACCGGTTGAATTTTTTCTAAAAACTATTAATTAAAAGAAGGAAATTGTCTTAGTTACAACTGAGTACCAATGAATTCATGCTATGAAGACACACCTCTTTCATTAGCTTAATGTCAGTTTCTAAACATTTTTGATCTATTCTTCTTTGTTCTTCATATGAAACAATCATAGTAAAGTTTAAGTCTTTCATACAAGTATCATATTCACCAGTTAATTGAATAAATTTATCCCTAATGTCATTAACGTTAAGAAATCGGTTAATTCCTTGAATTTATGAAACTTCTTCTGCATATTCTTTAATATTTTCTAATGAATTTTTGAATCTTAAAAAGGCTTGTTGATAAGCTTTATCAAGTTTTTCTCCCGTTTCTATTCTTTATTATAAAAGTTTTATTACAGCTTCTGCGGCTATAATACAATCTTGTAATATTCTACAAATATTTTTATTACATTGAGCTTTTTCAAATATTTGTGTTATTTCATCTATTCATGAATGCTGATTCTAGCATTGGTATCATCGGTTTAAATGTCTCACCGATTACTCTAATAATAGAATTGGATTTTACTGAATTAACAGCGCTCACTATTCTTTCTAAAAATTCTGGTGTGGTTTCATCATAACCTTGACTTTCTTAGTTTTATCAGGCATAATGAATTTTCTTTAAAAAAAAAAAACGGAAATTATTTATTGAATAAAAAAAGATTTTAAATAAAAAATAAATAAATATTTTCTTGTTTTACAAAATACATATGTACTTACGTTCTTTTATCTCAACTTTATTTATACAAAATAAAACAATGAATAAAACTTTTTTTTATTATCGTTACCGATTATGGTCACGTACTTGTACGTCTTTACAAATTAAGTTTGCTCTGAGTCTAGACAAAAAGTTATTGTTATTAGCGTTATAATTAATTCAATTATGCGGATCTCTCACTAAGGTGAAAAATTATTAGATCCGAAATGAGATCCTGTACGCTACTTATAAACTTTGTATGTATGCTATACGCAGTGAAGATTTGATCAGCATTTTGTCTCGGATCGGAATATTTATCATATAGTAGCTATTTTGTCATACAACTTGGTTTTCTTTTTGTAACCTTTTTGCGACTTTGTTTTATAACTTCTTTTTGCATCTTTTTCTCTTTTTCTAATTGTCATTTGTACAACTTTTTTTATGAAATTTTGCTAAACTTTAGCAATGGCAAAAAAGAGTAACTGGTTGTAAATCATTTTCTGACCAATCATGTTCATACACGTTGACATGCGCCTCCGTTGGGGTGTTATATCGATATCGAAATATTAATTACAGTATGTAAAATTAGTTATACAGTGATTATTTTTCACTGTGCGGACTGTGCGCAGCGCACAGAATCAAAACTTTGCGCACACCTCCTTTCGAACAGATGTCAGTTGCTTATAGATTTCCTTTATTTGCCACACAGAAAAGTTTCCAAATTGTGCGGCATCCGCACAGTAAAGTTTAACTGAAAAATAAACACTGCGTACGTACGTATATTGATGATATAGAATAAGTTATTATACGTACTATTTAAAAGTTAAAATTACATAAGAAATACTAAAAAATAATATTTTTGATTACATTGAATGCTTATATAGACTTTAAGCATGCTTTTTTACACGATTTATTGTTTTGACGCTTCGTATAGGCTAATCGGTAAAATTAGACCCTGAATAGAGTCACTAAATTTTAAACCCATTATTTGGGGAGTTTTTTTTTTTATTGACCTTACAAATTATTAGGGTGATTGATTGATTTTAATAGGGGCCATTAGATTATCTTAAGATTCATAAGATTATAGTTTAACTCATAATTGAAAACTGCTACTTAACAAAATTATCTTATGGATGCAAATCAAGCTTTCTAGTTTTTTTTTATTTGTATCCCGGCTACTATATGCAACACTCTAAGGTAATAGCAAAGTTTCTTTACAGCAAAATTTTCTCACTTTTAGGTTTAGAATCTTAGCTATATTTCTAAAGATCATAATCACAACAAAGTAACCAAAATTAGCTACTGTATAAACAATTTTTTGAAAAAATTGGCTTTAGAAAAATAATATCAAACTATTTGTATTTATTTAAACATATAAACTAAACATATACTGTATGTATTAATAGAAAATTAATAAAAGGTTAACGTTAAAAATTTCAATAAAGAAAACGAAATAATTAACTAGAGTGCAAAAACTACCAATAGTAACCTATTTTTTAAACAGTCTTAAGAATTTAGACGTTTTATGTTTTAAACTAATATAATTGAATGAATTGAATAATTGAAATAAACAAGATAAAAAGTGTCTAAAAAATAATAAATTTAATGACATTAATCTCATCATATAGCGTATCAATTGGACTAGCAATTCTGTACATATGCTATAGTCCTTTCTGATTAAATGTTACATAGTAAGAACTTTAAATGTTCCGGAAGATCACTTCCTATCTCTATAACAAGAAATCTGTTCTCTAATTAGAGTACATATTCTGAGTCAACCGACATGTGAAAAGCAAAAAAAAATACCATTCTTACAACACTAAATAAAGATGACGGAGATGAAATTTAAAACTCCAGCTTAGGAACATTTATTTTTCCCTATATACCTTGGACCCTAACACCTACATAAAAATCTTAATTAATGTCAAATTTCCTTTGTTTAGTTTATATCACTCGCAAAAGTACTTCCGATCTTCATGGTTTAGACGCACCTTGCAGATCACCGGCAAATTTTGGTATTATTCGCTCAAAAATTTAATGAATGATTGGTCATTACGCGCCCAATATCTATATATAATACAATTCTTACCATAAATTGATGTGCAAAGTGACGTAAGGTCGTGTAACCCACTTTTATGTCTTTTTTTGGCTGACAACTTCTATGATGATAGCACGAATCTCAAAGATCAGTTTTTCCGAGTTTATTAGTCATTACTAATGCGAAACTTTCATTATAATTGACAATATTATTTTAGATATCATTTATTAATGAACAAATATAAACCATTAACTATTGTCAGATGATTATTGTACAATGTGTTCCTTCCAAAAATTTTCGATTATTTCCAAACTCAAGATCTATGTTTTTCCGTAGATATTACATAGAGCAAATGGTCGCTGACTAGTAATTAACTCTAGAGGTGATATTTCATGAAAGGAGAAACCAAACATGTATATATAGTAATAATGTTTGCAATAATAAGCTGAAATGATTGTAGTTCTAAATAAATAATTCTTCTAATGCATATATATTCACTACTGCTATACGTGGTTTCGTTGAAAATGTTCACTTGCAGAAAGTTTGATCATCAATAAATCAACTTCATTGTTTATGTTTTTTTCCTTGTTGTACAATACGCAGTCCGGAAAAACCAGTAGACTGTTCAATTTAATAAACAATTTATCTACGTATATGGAATGGTAGAAATTTCATTATTTAAAGACGACGCCTCCTTAAACTTGGTTCTCTCCTAAGTAAAAGTAATGTTATTTTAAAAAACGTTCGTTATGAAAAAGGCAAATAAAACTGCTAAGAGCCGCGGTATTCGCTTCGTATCGAATATCACCCCAAACGTGACTGGGGCAGGCTCTCGAATATCTTGTGCAGATGGCATCTCATTACAAAATGAGTACGTCATCAACGATGAACAGCTGCACACTGTTCCTGCTCCCTATGAGTTGACATTAGATGTCGACGAATTAATCTACCCTTCAAATAATCCTCGCCGTTATAAAAAAACAAATGACCCACCGCGACCTCAAAACAGCTTTCTTTTATTTCGAAAGGACTTTGAAGCTAAATATAGGTCCCTCCACCAGGGAGAAAAAATCATTGCAAAAAAAATTTCATCTTTAGCCGCCCAAAGGTGGAATGAACAACCACCATCTGTAAGAGTTTTTTTTCGACAATTAGAATTGAAAGCTCTAAATAAACATAAAGAAATGTTCCCAAATTATCGGTATCAGCCGAATAAAAAAAAAGATTTTAAAAACAACGGTTCAGAAAAAATCAATAATTATTTAAATTCGAAAACTTTGCCACAACCGGGTGCTGAAAATTCCGACCAATCTCCGGAGATAGTAAATTCAAGTACTACAGATGCATCGTATGTTAGTTCACAAGATGTAGTATATGATACAAATACATTCATTATACAAAACAATTATGATTATGGTTTTCAACATTCTTTCATTCCTTACAACAATTTATATAATGGCCTTTTGTTCGATATTCATGACCCTGCTTCGTACAACACCGCGTTGTTTGAAACTGAAATCAACAATGATTTATTGGAAAATCGATTTCAATGATTATTTTTTAAACGAAATCATTTTCTTTTTTCTTTCCCTTTTTCTTTTTTTTTTATCATTCAATAACAATAATACATATCTGACAATATTATGAATTCATAAATTTAGTAAATATAAGAATTATAAGATTTATTTGTGATAATTATCACTTTTTATAAGCTTTAAGACAAATAAAGTATACTTATATTATTGTATCGTAAAATGCCAACTATTTGGCAAATCAAAATTATTTTGGCAAAATTTCTAATATTAATAAAGCGTAAGGTTCGTGATATGGAAATAAAATATCTGAATCAGAGATGTGCTCTTGCGTGAAATGTTGATACATCCTTGTGCAACTAAATCACATAACATTATATGTATCTTGCGTGGAATAAATTTTTAATAAATGAACAAGACAATGATTTTTAAGACTCCGCAAGCATAAAACTTTTACTAGTGACAATGATGAAAGGATCTCCACGCAAAAATACGCTCAAAATAGTTTTATTTGATTTTGAAATCGGGTGACTTCTGCTAATGTATTAGCAGATTCTGGTCGGATATTCTTTTAATTGGTTTGCTTGACTCAATAACTTAGATTGCTTATTTACACTTTTTAAAGTGCTTTTTTAAAAAGATACCATACTTGATTATCTTTTACACAATCTTATAGGGGTTTATTGCTAAGTAAGTTAGTGTAGATATGATTTAGATCAAATATGCAAGAACGATATTGCTTAACTTACATAATATGAGCTAAAGCTTGTAATTCGTTTCTAGTAAATCTTAGCTATAAATAATTTGACAATAAATCGGTTGACAATTATTCGTATATTAGATTTTTATTGATTTGATCGGTCAGCGATCACGGTTTGACCAACATAATATACAACTATCACGATTATTGATAATGGGCCATGTTTTGATCATATAAAATAAAATCGAAATATTGTGCTATGATTTTTTTTAATATCACTGTTAATAGACAAGTTGTTAATTTTTTCATTTTAATGAATGGATAGGGATGATTGAGTGGGACTTACCTTTATTACAAGAAACATTAAACATTAAAAATAATGGCATAAAAGAAAAACTATAGTTAAAGTGTGGTAGGGATTCATTTATATGGTAAAACGATCAAGTTGATTTAAACATGTGAAAAATGAATCAGAGTTATACTTTATCAGCAGCAAGGAAAATATATAATTTTGAAACAAGTGTTTTTTACTAAGTATTTTTATTTAATGCATTAAATTAAAATTATTTTATACATTAGCGTTAGTGAATTCGTCCACTATTTTTACTTTAATTTTGCTACTAGATTGTATTAATAAGATTGGTATAATACCTTCTAGCAATTATTGCATGAATTTGGCATATATTTTCTAAAAATAGTAAATTATAATTTTATTATCAAAAATCAGACATCTATCCAACAATTATGAAGCACAAACTCGATATATATTTTTCGGTTGCATTTCGTCATTTTTGTCACGTTTAATCAGTTTTGTCATTTTGTAATTTGAGGTTTTGATTTGCGAAAGGTAAAACTATGCTTCGTATTTCATTAGTGCGAAACCTCCAACCTTTGCTTAGCAACTATAATCTAATACAACTTGGCTTTCAATCTACATCCATTCTAATTTCACCCCCAAAACCATTTAAATTGTTATATACAGTATCTGATTCTCTATCTTATCTGTTCATTAATTTCGGTCTGAGTGAGCATATTAAAGTGATATAGAAATTTTCAACTGTCTAAATTTAATAGATGCAACGGATCGAAAAAAAGGGAAGAATTGGTCAGGGTTACACGCCACGTGCTATATCGCGCACTCAGATCACGGGCAGAGGGCATGGGTCGGGATCAAAGAACGGATCAATCTGTAAAATTGCATGAATCAACACGCAACCAGAGATACATGTAATAGAAAAGCCACCTACCACAATCGATATATAAATAACCGAAAACAAGTTGCTTCGACACCCTTTCCCACTTCGGCAAACAAATTCTCGACCCAACCTCTCCCGCCACAACGGTAGTCTCCTGATTCTGCCATTTTCCTATTTAACAGCCAGCCTGCTTCGAGTAGGCGGGAAACCACCGGCTGATGTTGCTTCTCACTCATTCTACTTCTCGCTCGTTCTACTGTTACGATGATACCTGGCGCAATCTCACTTGCTAATTTTCTGGGAGCATATTATCGTTTCAGTTCGATTTACTTGCTAAAATTACTCATAATGTCATGATGTATTCTGCGGACTTCATGTCATTTAATTGAATTTAATTCCGGCACCTTTGGCTAGCCAGCATTCATCCAACTACATAACCAGTCGCACCGATGCTTTTCGTATGTTATAGTTCAATTAAGAAATAATTTCACATGTATATGTTTATCAAAACATATTTAGATTTATGTACATACAGTATGCTAAATTTATATATACAATCAAAAATTTTTTCACTTTTATACAGTCAACCCGCCCAAATTCGAACTAACAGCAGAGATACAGGAGGAAACGTACCCGATCCAAAGTGAATCCCACACACGGCGTGATCAATTAAAACTAAAATAAATAATTTTAGTTTTAATTGATCATGTGTTGGATTCACTTTGAATCGGGTATGTTCCCTCCTGTTTAGCAGAGATCGTTAATGTTACACGTATATTAAAACTGGTGAGGGATTATATCCATCACAATTGAATCCAACATAAATAATTTAATTTGTGATTGTTCACAGACGAGAGGGATTCACTTTGGATCAGGAACTGTCTATGCTGTAATCCGAACTCTCAATAAACACCGTAAAAACCGAGCACAAAGCTTCAAAACTTTTGTAAATTTTGTTAAAATTTTCGGATTAACAACATAGTAACTCTTTGAAAACTGAATTTTTTGATATATTTACATATAAGAACGGACCATTCAGAAAGGAGAGAGTTGACTGTAATAAATTTTTTTTACGAAAGTATAACGATAAGTGTTGTAATTTATCTAATGAATAATGGCAACTTTTCCAAAACAAGAATGGATAAGTATCAATACTGTCAGAGGTAAAACTGACACCTCATAGAGCCTGCAAAATGGACGTCATTGTGGCATACTTACCTAATTAGAGTTGCCCATGACGATCCATCTGAAACATGTGCGCCCGGCCCCAAAAAGATGCCGGCTCGGTTATATTTAACGTGTCCGGTTATTCTGCCGGTGATCTTCTGATCATGTTACTTCATTATATAATCGGGGTATTGTTTGATTATATTGTCTATTGTGTCGTTAAAGTAGCCGTAATTAGTAAATGGTCGGATTTTAATAAGTCCGTATTCCAGTAATTGTTTGTGTGCGTATATTGGCTTCTTTGCAATGTGATAATTAAATTGTTGTTGTTTAAGCCATGGTAATATGGTTTCACTTTTTAGTCTTTCCGTAGTTGGTGATTTTTCTAAGTACTTGAATATTCTACTTCTTTCCATTCTAGGGAATATTCTAAGATATTTTGTTTCATTGGCTTTGGTTAGCCTTTTCTTGATTCGGGCTAAAAACTTTAAATTTTCATTTAATATCTTCATTTCATTTTCGTAGAATTTTTCTAATTGCAATATTTCTTTAGATTCTAATAGATCACTATTATTTATAGGATATGCATCTATTTCAATTGCTCTGTCTAATGTTGTTTGTTCAACATTATCATATTCTTTTTCTGAATCGTATTCTTCTTGTGTTAATGTTAATAAAGTAGTCATTAATAATTCAGATGTTGAAATATGTTCAAATATTACTTCTAAATTCTTTTCTATTTCTGGTACTAGTAAGAATTGTTTTGCTTGTCGTTTTGTATAAAAATCAAAGTGTTCATGTTTTTCTGGTTCTTTGTTTGTGAAATGTTGTCCTTCTAAATATGGGTGTATAAAAGTAACTATTTCTGATGGAAATCCATATTTTTCTTCTGTTGGTTCATATGTTGATCTTGCTACTTCTGAGACAAATTTTTCTTGTATTTCTAATCCAATTTCTTCGTAAACTTCTCGGATTCCTGTTACTATTTCTTTTTCTTCTTCT